CTAGATTAATTTTTCTCAAACAATTTTGCCCAATCAAGTTTGGGTTTGAACCTTTTACTACAGTCAGTAGTAACTGAACCAGCTGCTTCTCATAAGAGACTCTAACCAAAGTTGTACCCTTAATCTGTAAAGTTTCCCCGATCTAAGTTCTCAGACTTGCACAAACTTAAGGGTTGGAGTCCAGAGCGAATTTTCTTAAATACTGGTTCTGTGATCACTGAACAGCTGAGCCAGTATCGAACTCCATTAGAACGGGTGACTATTTAACCAGATATTTATTTTGATTGGTTCTGATTTGGATGTTGCTAAGCAATTTATCTGTTCCAAACCAGATATAGGTGCACTCACCAGGGTGTGCACTCTCCTGGATACCGGCCTATGAATTCTTTTACCCAATTTAGGTCCAGTTGGACTCTTTCGCTGTCTCGAGTCCACACACTGGCAGCAACTACAATGGCGTGCCAATCTGGATCCTGAAGAAAATTTTAACTGTTTTGCTGAGGCTTGGCTTTGTTTTGGGATTTTGCTGTAGGCTGACCTAGAGTCCCTCTGTTCAGGATAGTAAGGCTATGCAATTGCCTTCATTCAAGTGATATTCCCCAAGCTCCACTGGACTGGCGAGGATGTCCACTTACACGGGCATATGTTGCAACTGATCTGCTCCACTTGCCACATTTTCTAATGATAAAGCCAGTTGTAGTGCCTGTTTAAAGTCCAGCTTCAGTTAGTAGATGCTTTTGCATGGTTATATCATTAATCCCACATTCCAAATGGTCTCTCAGCATCTCATTAAGGGTTAAACCAAAGTTACATGCCTCTGCCAGTCTTCTTAACCTAGTCAAATATCCCAAGATAACAAGGTGTAGAGCTGGATGAACACAGCAGGCCCAGCAGCATCGTAGGAGCAGGAAGGCTGACGTTTTGGGCCTCGACCCTTCATCAGAAATGGGGGAGGGGGAGGCGGATAGAAGGTGGATAGAGGAAAAGATAGGTGGAGAGGAAACAGACAGGTCAAAGAGGCGGAGGCGGCGGAAAAACTGCTCAATGTCCAAACGTGACCAGTATTCGTTGATGTGATGTGTGAGCCCTTTACTGAGGACTAAGAAAGGTGATGTGGCTGTAGTACCTGGTTTGCTTCAGGACATGGTCGAGCAGTTTCAAGGCCGAAGCGATTACGAGAGAGTTGCAGTGGGAGAGAGAACCACTGAGCTTTGTCTGGAGGGAGGAGGGTAACTTCTTCAGGGTAGGCATCCTTAGAAGAGGCTTCATCCAGCTCTACACCTTGTTATCTCAGATTTTCCAGCATCTGCAGTTCCTACTATTTCAAATATCCAAATACTGGCTCTCGAATGCTGAGTAAAACCAATAGCATTTTAGAATTAGAGCAGGCTTGGGGTCACAACATTCCTTAACTAAATCCATCAACTCTTGAAAGATTTTAGTATCTGGTGTATCAGGGTAACTTCAGCTCCCAATGACTGAAAAAGCCATGGATCCACAAGCTGTCAGGAGAATTACTCATTGCTTTATATGCGTCTCAGTGTCATTTTCCTGGAAAAATTAATGCATTCTTTCCACATACTGGGCCCAGTCTTCAATGGCAGGATTAAACAAGCCAAGCTTCTTAAATAACAGCATGATGCCAAAAATGCTTACCCCAACTCAAAGACAATTTTTGCGAGGGGATTTCTTCAGGAGCGTCCTTTCCTCTCATTACCTTTGAAATAACTCCACAGAGGCCAGTATTCTGTCACCAAGTCACCCTTTATTTACGTGTGGGGAGTCCTTGACACTGACCCAGCTCCCTCAGAGCCAATTCTCAGAGTCAACGGGATGTCTGACACTCCTTATCTGTCAGCCAGGGATCCCTGATTGGACCAGATTAACAGCCCCAATCAAGGAACTCATATTCCATGTTTCAATTGAAAAAGTCAACATTGACTTATTGTTAACACCTTAGCCAGTTGTAATATAACTAAATCAACTCTTAAATAAAAATGGAATGTGCTTTTAAATCTATTTTTCTTGGTTCCTTCATGTGTGAGAACTTTGTATATGCCGGAAGAGAACAGAGCAGTTCTAATCTTGTTTGTACTGCGGGCTATTTTAAACAGTCTCGGACACGAATAAAATGCAACTACAATACCGCAAATCTCCAGGAGATGGCACCAAAGGCAGAGGAGTAAACTGATGTGAACTGAGTAAACTGTACAGAAGCGGTCCAAGATTCCTGCGTTCATCATTTTTGGTAAACGCTCCCTGCCTTCACGCTCTAATTGTTAAAACAAATGGTATAATATTTGTCAAATTAAATGATTGTCAAATGAAATGTCAGACGTTTAGTTTTGGAGTTAAAAGTGGAAAGTTTGATTCTATTAAAAACGGGTCTGCAAATAACTTAGATTTAATGTATTAATAACATGCAATATTTAGTCCAGTCATTCTCGGTTTATGGATCAGGGTGTCCCAATTAAAGGCGGGTTTTAAATACATAACATTTTGGGTTTTTTGCCTCAATATTTGAATAGAACTTTCCTGCCTTATTACTGTTAGTGAGCAGGTGCACAACGTTTTTAAGTCTTCAATTGCATTTTTTTAGAAACGCCCTAAGAATTGGACGAAAAACGAGAGTAAGGCATAATCCGTTCTTGTCCCAACAGCGGACCAAATCTTGGGTTCACTGTGTGAAATAGTTGCAGAATGTGTGCTATTTACTTCTACTTTGAAAAGCATGCTTCAAATTCCAGCTCACGCCTCAAGGTGGGGAAGGTCAGGATAATAATGGTGATTAAATATGAATTACTAGTTAGGTCACAAATCAGCCTGAAACTTCTCCACTAAGTCACTAATGATGCGGATCACCAACCGTTTACAATCTGCAAAACAAAACCAGTAAGTTCCTTTGATCAGGGCTTCAGCGTTTTAACGTAAAAAGGTACAATACAGAATCTTATTGTAATGAAAACCCGCTCATCATATCCAAATCTTGCCTCTTCGCCCCCTCCGGCCTGTTTTTGTTTTCGTTTTGAATTAATGGGAAAATGTTTTGCAGTTGAGCAGACAGCAACTTAACGTGGGAATTGGACGTTTTGGGCGGAATGCGGAGTGTTAGAATCCTCAGATTCACGCGGGGGAACTGGATTCTCGTTCAGCTTTTGTTTTAAAATAAATCCAAAACGCAGATTGGTTCACCAGCGCGCCTTTAGATTTCGTTTGCTCGTTTTCGAACACTTACACTAACAGTGGCAAGTTAAACAAATAATCCCAACCAGACTTTTAAAAAAAGAGAAATCAAATCTGCTGGGCGGTAACAGTTAAGATTCGATCAAAAAGCATTGACTTTTCAGCTGCTGGTATTGTCAGAATATGGGGCTAAAATCAGAACAGAGAAGCTTTAACTGCAAGCGTGAAATATTGTCCAACAAAAAAAGCTTCCTTTAAAAAGTTAACAAAAAAATGTAATTTTCGTTAGATTGTTCCCACTGAGATATTTAAGGAAATGACTGGCAATGGTTGAGGTAAAGTTTATGGTTTCTTTTACCCCCGCAGGAGTCTGGAAAATTAGTGTTCAGAGGAGTTTCTTTTTATATTCCCTACAAAATGGTACGCGTTTAGGTGGAACACTTGTTAAAAATTAGCCAACGCTAAAAAACGTTTTAACTTTTTTCTCGAATAAGCCGAATCCATTCAGTGACCAAATGGATTTGACGGATTCCCAATCTGGTCTGACTGCACACTGAAACAAAACAAAACGAATTGCTGCAGAAAATCAGCAGGTCTGGCACCATCTATGGAAAGAAAAACAGATTTTACATTTCGAGTCTGGTGACCCTTCTTCAGAAACCAAATCTGTTTTCTCTCCAGATCTGCTGAGTTTCTCCAGTAAATTGTATTTTTGGTTTAGATTACCAAAATCCACAGTTTGATTTTATATTCCAGGCGTCGGGTTACAGGTGAGAGCTAGCAGTGGGACCCTACAACCCGTTACAGGCTCCCTGTAGCAATGCAGAGTGCATCAGTACTTCTCAATGAGGCGATTTCGATATTGTTTCATTGCAAATGACAACAGTGTACGCTTTACTGAGGTAAGGACCCTTTCTCTTGCATTCGGGACAATAAGTGGCCAATTATGGTTCAAATTGGATTCGAAACACGACTAAAAGGGCGCACTACCCTTTGAACGCCGAGTAATGACCTTTATTAACCGGCGGGATAATCGTTTGAGCTCCAACCGATTAATCACCCTGTCTGGCCTCTGCCTTCCCTCCTTAATTGTCTATTAACTCGCCAGTTATTCTCGTGTGCCATCGGCTGGGTTCAGAATAGGGAGTTTTTGTCTTTTTTTATCATCATCTTCCACTGAGAGATATTGAAAGTAAACATTCTGGGAGTTCCAGAAATGGTCAGGTTTGTGATTCAAACCAACATCCTCAATAAACTGGTTGCAATGGATTCAAATTGGAGACTTCTTTTGGGAGGGGAAATCTAATTAGCTTAATCCCCTAACCCCCCCACCCTGCCCCCAAACAATCTCTTTTGAAGTCGAGACGATCTCAAACAGTAAAATAAATGACCCCTTATATTTTTGAAGGTTAAAGCCGAAAGTTCATCCTCAAAACAGCATTAATGCCAATAAGCAGAGTGTGAGCCATCTGTAAATCCACAAACTCTCTATATCCGGGGTCAAATCTTACAGACACACACAAACACACACACACAAATCTTGCATCGTTTTCCCAGCGGCCCTGATCAAATAGAAGGCTTCAATGCATGTGTGCGTTTTTTCTAAAGTCGGCTCTTTAAGATGTAGGAAATTCAAACCGAACTGGTTATTTAATGGGGTTTGATCCATTCATCCAAACGGGGGCTCTGGCACGGGGCTTGAAATGGGAAGTAGGAATCCGGGCGGTCCCAGAGCCCGTGCGGGGCCGGGGGGCGGGGGGGGAGGTGTGCAATGAAGAGGAGAGTCACTGTACATGTGGCTCAGATGGAATGGTCTCTGGGGGAGGGCTAGACCGTGGCTCAGGTGGCTATCCCTGAACATCACTTGATGGCGTGGTTCACCAACGAGAAGGTGGCGTCAAAACTGACTTTAAATCTCCAATGGTAAGAGTCACGCTAGATGCAATATTTCCTAAAAAAAAGCCCCCTCATGTCACTGAAATCAGAATGAAAGTGTTTTTTTTAAGTTATTGAAGTCTGGTATTAACTAATCTCTATTGAGAGAGGAGTGCATATCGCCCGATAGGACTGTGGCGGTGTTATTTTTGTTTTCACTGGTTAATGCATTGAATGTGTGTTTGTAGGGGGGGGGGGTGAGTAGAGATGCGATATAGATATAGAGCGGGTTTACTTAATCATTTAGATTTTAAATTCCTCGAGTTGAGTACGATTTGTAGTTAACTCAGCTATTGATTCATATTGGCCTTTGTGTGGTTTGGAGATTTGTTGCTTTAATGTCATGTCGGGTCCCAATTTAAGGACAAACTTCACGAACTGCAGAATCTAAAAGGGCACAATCAAACAGATTCAAATGTCCTTTCCCATCACCACCTTGTTTCGATTTAAAATGTACAGATTCCATCGGCCTGCGGGATTTCTCAACACCCCCTTTTCCCGGTGAGGGAGGGAGGGCGACGGTGGGAAGCGGGGTGGGGTGGGGGTGGGGGGGGGGGGCGCGGTTGCTGATCAGTTTATAGGGACTGTTGTCATTTGGACCCTGCTGTGAACTTCTGGTTTGTTCATGCGGAGCGTAAACACCAGCTGACTGGGCTAAACAATCCATATTCTACATAATTATGCAATGTTCAGAGACGTTATGGCATACACCCCTGGAGGAGGTGGGACTTGAACTCCTGGATCAGAGATAGGGGCACTACCACCGCTCCAAACGAGCCCTTGGACTCTCGCTGTGATTAGAGAAAGACGCATAAAACACAGCGAGGACTATCATTAAGATTCATTCAGCAAAACATGATTAGTTGAAGGGCGGTTATCAAACACTATTGTGTGCGGGAGCAAATTACTACAGACACTGGAATATGTACTGAAAACAAAAGAAAATGCTGGAGATCACAGCGGGTCAGGCAGCATCCGGGGAGAGAGAGCAAGCTAACATTTCGAGTCTAGATGACTCTTCAATATTATGTCTGTGTGGTTGGGGGCGGGGGACATAATGATAATCAATGGACCCATGCGGTGATGATTGGGAGGTGCACAGACGGATCCCTGAGCGGAGTGAGAGCCATCACTATTCAATTGATGTAACACTAATGTGTTCACTTAGCTCTTTCTGTTGAAAGTTACCCTGACTTCACATGTGAGTTGATCCAAAGTAATCATAGAAAGGGGATGAGGATTCTTCCACTGATAAAGATGTGGAAAACACCCGATCTCTGAGGTTAAGAGTTGATGGACTTGGTTAGGAACTGACTGGAGGGTACCGGATTAGATCCTACTCGGTATCTGGGTCCCATGACCTGGCCAAACCATTTATTTTTGCATCTGATCTGGCAGCCGAAGACTCTTGTATTGGTAGAAGATGCCCCAGGAACATTTCACCTTTCGCCCTGGGCGGCTGCTGTCGGTGTGTTGGCCAGACCTCGGGGCGACTCCCTCCCGCCAGGTTCAACCCGCACCTTAACGCTGCTAAAACCGCCTGGAGCTAGTTCCCAGCGCCGTGTGAAGCCGCGACTCCAACAGGGCAGCGTACTCCGTCACCCTTTGATCTCAGCAGCGAAAGTTTTCACGAGTGAGTTTCGTAATCCGAGTGATAAACGATTAAGACAAAAACGCGTGCAGAATGGAGTTGTATTTTTAAAAAGTTCGGTCACTATTGATCCAATCTTTAATCCCTGGAGATCTCGAATTTTCACACCTTCCGCAATCACAGACGGTACCTCTCCTCCAATCTCAATCCGTTTAAACCCCTCACGAATAGATTCCACTCTTATCCCTGAGTCTGAAGCCCCTTGTTTGGACTAACTTGCGTACAGAGAAAGGCTGCCTAGAGCTTTGGCTGGGGAGGAGGCAGAATAAGGCGGGAGGGGTGAAACGAGTGGTCACTGCCCTGGGTGAATGAGTCTGGGGTCAGACAATAAGTAGCCCAGAACAGCACCCTCCGAACTCCCTCTCCCCTCTTGCAAACCCTGCTTGCAAACACCGAATTGCCAAAAACAGAACATCTTTAGGAAATCTAAACAGAAACAGAAATATAACTTTTCACAAATGGAAGGGGACTCGGGGGGCGGGGAGGTTGTGAGATTTTCGGTTTGATGTTTGCACCAAGTATTTTAGAAATGGGAAACACTAGAAGATTTTGGGAAATTCGCTTCCTCGGTGATAGGGAGGACGAGCTTGACCTCCCGAGTCTTGTCTTGTTACAGAATAACAACACTTGCGAATACAACAAAAAAAAACCCAAGTCCTACGCCTGATATTGTTCTGGGACCTGTCGGCCGGACTGGTTCATCGCCGGGTAAAAGACTTCAGGCAGAGTTTGCTTGCTCGTGCTGCAATTTGCAGTGAGAAAAAACATTTTTGATCGCCTTTTTGAGTCTCCCTTTTTTTCTAAAGGGGTGGTGGTGACTGATACTGTTTGACACAATGCTACGTTAAAGGAAAGAACTATTCACTTTTTTATGTAAAAAGGAACTCTGGAGAAACTCAGCAGGTCTGTCAGCATCTGTGGTGAGACAGAGAGACAGAGTTAACATTGTGTATACCATAGCAACCACGTTGGACTCAAAGCATTAACTCTTGTTTCTCCCTCCACGAATACCTGTTCGGTATTGCTAGCATCATTTGTTGTACTTATTAAAATAATATTTCCTTATTTTTGCCAGTTCTACATGGTCCCTGGAGGGCTCTTATGGTGCAGTGGCAATGTCCCCTTCTCTGGACCAGGAGGCCTGGGTTCAAGCCCCAACTGCCCAAGAAGTGTGTAATAACATGTTTGAACTGGTTGATTAGAAAATATCGAGTCCGTTTCGACTAAAATGAGGAAACCATTTACATTGTTTTGACAGCTTTTTTTAAAGAAAAAGCTTGGTTCCAGTCAGAAAGTTCGAAATGTAGCCCACATATTTCAGAATTAACTTTTCAATAGGGCAGAATGTACAAACTGTAAACAGAATTATTTATCGTTCATTTAGCATTTAATGGTTCAGAAACTGCAGCTACTGTCTCAAGATGGCCCGTGATTGTGGCAACTAACTCTTTGGGATTTCGATCTTCTCTTAAACTACGAATGGATAATGTTTACGGTCGGTTAGAATCAACGAATCATTTAATTATTAAAACAAAACCTCATTCATAAATTCGGGTCTTCAAAGCGGCTGCATGGTACCTGATTCTGATTTCTGCTTTAAAAAAAAACACACACCTCACGGCCAACAAGGGTATGAGGTTGTGTATTCTCATTTTAAAGTGGAGTTAGTTTTTCTCCAATTAATAACATTTTATCACCACTATATTTATCTAGAATGCACTCCTCTTCTGTTTCAATCACCAAACTGAATTCTGAATGCGGGTTCCAAACTCTATCGGGAAGATTACCAGTTTTTTTAAAAAAATTGAAGTCTTTCGGCGGGACTTTAGTGGTTATAATGGAGTACAAATGTCTTGAAGCGGCGCTGATTTGGCAGCTCTGACAGGGGTTAGGTGGCAGGTTTACACAAAGAAGCAGCGAGATCTTGGCGATAGAGGGAAACGAAAACTAGAGCGCACTGCTCGATCCCATGAGAGAGCTCTCCGCTGAAAGACAAGCGATAGAGTATTCAGAAGGGTGCACCTGGAGAGCTCTGTAACCCTTCAGAATATTGCGCTGATCTCCTGGTCATCCGGCTGCCGCAGCGGACTGTCCGATTTAAAGTTTGAATGGGAATATGCCTTAAGGCCATAAATGTTTTAGCTCTCCTACCACCAGCCGTCATAAGAACCATTTCTCGGCTCTCACTATCCAACTTGTCGCCCGAACGTGGATGAAGTGTTAATGAGAGTCTCCATCCCCCGGGGCTCGTATTACTGATTTTTTTTTCACCTAAACTCTGTCGAGTGAAAGGAAAGCGGACCCAGGAGAGGAATGAGGGTCATTTTTAAAATTGTTACCCTGAGCTGTGCTGGGCAGCACTCCCCAGTATGACAGACCAAATCTTTGATTATGTGCGATTCTCCATTACTTTGAACCATAGAGAATCTGGTCTAGCAGCATCTGTGGACAGAAACACAAAATGGGTTTCTCCATTTTCTGAGATAGTAGGAACTGCAGATGCTGGAGAATCTGAGATATACAAGGTGTCGAGCTGGATGAACACAGCAGGCCAAGCAGCATCAGAGGAGCAGGAAGGCTGACCTTTCGGGCCTTGACCCTCCTTCAGAAAATGGTAACTTCTTCAGGGTAGGCATCCTTAGAAGAGGCTTCGCAGTGGGGTTAAAATTGTTTCAGAGATAGTAGGAACTGCAGATGCTGGAGAATCTGAGATATACAAGGTGTACAGCTGGATGAATACAGCCGGCCAAACAGCATCAGAGGAGCAGGAAGGCTGACGTTTCGGGCCTAGACCCTTCTTCAGACCCTTCTTCTGTTTGTTTTAGATTTCCAGCGTCCGCAGTGGTTCGCTTTTGTTCGTTTGTTTAAACTCAATCTTTCATTCGTTAGTTTAAGCGTGGACATGTTATGACCCACCTCTGGGGAAGCAGGTGGGACCTGAAACCCCCGGCCCAGAGGTGGGGACACTACCCCAAACGCCACAACACAGTGTCCACAATCCGCTTGAAATTCAAAGGGAGATTTGTAGTCTGACTTCCAATTAACCTCTCCCTCCAACTATTTACACACTCAAAACACGAGTTACTCCCAGCCCAAGCAAACGCAGACTGACAAAATGTTGAGATTGTGTGTACGTCCGAATTCTGTTTCTCTGTGAGGCCACAAATAAAATCTATCCATTTCAAAATATTGCCGCAAGTTAATTGTTTTGAAAAGTTTGACTCGACTCCTGACAACGTACAGTCTCCGGTTTGAATGGCTTGGGTATAGAGTGCTCAATGCAGCTGCGAAAATGACAAAAACCTTTGCCTTAAAAATTACATTTGTCAAAAATGGAGAAACCTGCAGTATTTATTTTTCAAATAAAAGCAGTGTTGGGGTCTTGCTCAGCGGCTAGCATTCAGATTGGTTCATGGTCATTTCAAGGCAGCTCCGTTTGAAGCAGCTCGGGCTGTTGTCAGTCCATCTCACGGTTTTAAAATAAAAAGCAGGCGAAGCTTTTGCAGACACCCCTGCACATCAGCCTGGCTGCGTGTTTAGCTCCGGGATAAGTTCCTCACTAGAGGAAAGCAAAATTAAAAATAGTGCGCCCCATTCTGTGTTGCAGAATCGCTTCGGAGACGATGCTTTTAAGGTCGCCCCGCAGTTTCTGGTTGTTAAATGAGAGCTCGGTTTCCAGGAGCTCCGACCGACCCCTGTAAAGCACAGCTTCAATGAACCAGCCTGCTAATGTACTTGAACTCGGTGGCAAAGTCAAGTGAGTGTGAAGCCAGTGTTATTAACTGTGTTTTAGTTAAGAGTCGAGGAGGCCAGTGTGGGTGAAAACAGCCGGCAGTGTGCCGTCTGCTCCATTCTCTTCCCTGAGAAGAGCACATCCTCACTTCCCGTGTACAGGGGAGAGACTTCCTGGACCAGGCTGACCCAAGGACCATCTCCCCGCACGCTAATCCGCACGCAAACAGCAGCTGGAGGTTCGCATAGGAGACACACCTTGCTAACCTGATCTGTAAACTCTTGCGCAGCCAAGAGATTTATATGATAGGGTGAGAGAGCGGACAGACAGTAAAATCGGGCCAAACGTTTGTTTTCAAATCCTACAGTTTCCTTTGACGCTATCGAATTTTGCTTTACTTTCTGGTCTTTTTGTAGTCCACCTTGACAGAAGGGTGTCAGCAACAGACATGGGACTCAGCTCTGGGTAATGATAATTCACGCTGAAACCCAGGGAACTGTTATCTTTCATATCTATCCGGTGTACACAGTCTTTGCGTCACAGTAACAGGTAATTCAGCCGATCAGGTCAACGCCGATAGAATGTCCCTTTTCACCCTTCCCCCTCCCCCTCGTACATTTGTCGAGCTATCCTTCAAACACATTGTCGCAGGCCCAGGGCCTGGGCTAACTTTTAGACTGCTCCATTAATTCATTCATCCCTTTCTTTTCGATTTAAGAGGCGTTCTCTTGGGGGCTCCGCATAGTCCAATGTACAGATCAGTTGACCTTACTTGCGTGTTCAAATGCTGAGGCGATGGTGTCGTGGTAACGGTCCATAAAACCTTGTCTAATGTTCTAGCGACTTCGGTTCCAATCACCCTACGGCAGATGATGAAATTTGTATTTTAAATAAAAGTGTACTGTCCGTTGCTGTAAATTTGGCTCACTTGTGTCATTTAGGGAAGGAAATCTACCGTCCTTACCTGGCCTGGTCTACGTGTGACTCCAGACGCTGTTAGCTGACTGTTAACTGCCCTCTGGTCAATTTAGGAATGGACAATAAATGCCCATTTAGCTCGCGATGCTGAATGAATGGTTAAAAAAATACTGGAAATATAAACAGAAAGTGGAGGAAAAAGCAGACTTAACGTTTCAAGTCCAATGCCCCTTCTTCAGAACTGATATTTATTCCTCACATTCAAACCTCACAACAGAAGGCCAACGTGGAAGATGCGAATGCAGGCTGTGGGAGAACTTGGATCTCAGCTGGAAAATAAATGCTGATTCAGAAGAAGTCCCTTCAAACTCGAAGCATTAACTCTGTCTCTCTCTGCGCAGTTGCTGCCAGACTTACTGAGTTTCTTCAGCAGTTTCTGAGTTTAGTTTGTTTGAAATATCAGCTGTCCTTTTCCAATTCTCTCGCTTTCTCACCATATCGTCTCACTCCTAAGCCATCTTTTAAGTACCGGGCATTGCATGTCATTTTCTGTCAATGTTTAATGCAGGGAAACTGTAGCAGGGTAAGCACATAGAGATGCTGACATGTGAGTGTAGCTAACGGCATTAATGAATTGGAGAATGCTCAGACTCCTCTGTTGACACAACATAGCAGTCAAAGAGAGCCAACATTCCCAAGTAGGAAGCTGCACCGTCCCGTTTAAGTGCCGTTAAGACTTTGATTGTTCCCCCGACTCTCAATGTAATCATATTGCTCACGCAATGTTGTGCACCTCAGAGTGGCTTACACTGGCACCAGGATGGGAAGGACTCAGGTTAATCGCTCAGCCAGTGTGAACTGCCACCCGGTTCACCCGCAATGACACGATTTTTACAAGGTGCTGCTGAAATATTGACAACCACCAGCTCCCTTTCCACCCTTAACAAAATGTCACTTTCTTGGTGTTTCCAAGCAGATTGGCGCAACGGAAAGATACCCGAATGGGGTGACATGCTGGCGCTTCTGCTCTGCAAATAACGTTTCGGGCATAACCCAGGGAGGATTTGCCAGGTAGAGCTGGGTTGAAAGCAGAAACATTGCGGTGCTCAGTCCAGGAGCAAACAAAAGACGAGACACGGACAACACGAGCAAGGTAAACTCAGCCTACGTCCTTATTTGAAGAACCCAACTCTGTTGAAGGGTCTTGAAGACAGTCGCCCCAGCGTCACTAAACAAGACTCGGGGAAACAAGGGCGCCAGCAATAGAATATCGTTGTGTAACATGGGCATTTGCTGCAGCGCCACCATATCCCAAAGTATCCTCAGAGGATTATTATTGGAAATCTGTTCACTTGTTGTCAGTGTTGGAGATCCGTCTAAATTGGGCCACAAAAAGCCGCAAAAGCTGGTTGGTGTGAACGGTTCCTCTGCCTGGTAATGTAGCGGAGGCAGATACAAGAAGGAACTGGATGTTTATTTGCATGGAAACAGTCTGCTAGAGGAAGGAACAGGGAATAGGCACCAAGGCATGATGCTCCTTTGAAGAGCAGATGCAAACCGCTCCGGGCTGAATGGCCTCCTCCCGCACTCTGACCCCGCCAAAAGATTTCCCGCGCCCCGGCCTGTGACACGTGACCCCTGAACGCCAATTGAAGCGCTCCCCCGGCCGTTTCCAGGGCAACGCAGCCCCGGCGTTCCAATCGGGACGGGTCCAAGGCGAGGACAGGGTGCGCAAGCGCGCAAGTTTCTCCGCCTTGCAACACCCCTCCCAGATCTGACCCTTTCCCCTCTCCCAGATCTGAACCCCTCTCC